ACTTCTCAGAAGTCACGTTTTACCTGTCTCAAGTGCTTCTTTAACTGCCTGTTAAGATTTCAGACAAAACAAGAATTAAAGACCAGGATATCACCATCCCGTTGTCTTACAGGTGAACACTTCTGTTCAATTATGTCTAAATAGATAGGATCGAGACTTCACTAGTTCTCATAAAATATAGAAAACACCAACTATAAAGGATATTGAACATCTATAATATGAGTACGGCAAGCACTCTCTGCATATTGCGTTTGTAAACCACGAAATTCACCCCTTAGTGCACCGATCGGGTTATTAATTCCGACTTTTAAGCACCAATCGGGTTATTAATTCCGACTACACCAACCGGGTTATTAATTCTGACTTTTCTACACCTATCGGGTTATTAATTACGACTTTGCGGCACCGACCCGGTTATTAATTCCGACTTTGCGACACCAAACGGGTTCATAAACAGGGACATAAGCTACGAAGTAAATTCTGCCTTCAGAGTGCTGCTATTGCATACTCCCATTTCGATTTTTTCGAACGGTTTCGTCCAAATCGCAGTACCAGACACCTTTCTTTGCCAAGTCCTCCATCACAAGGGAAAATCTGGACGGAAAAACCCGAGGAACGTTTTCGGCCAATACTGGAATTGAACCCGGGACCTCCCTAAACCTTATCTTAACCCTAACCCACGAGCCTCAATGACGTCATTTGTGCTAGACCGTCTTCGATCTAGCGTTTTCCGTGTTTGTAACACATTCATACAGCCTTTTTTTTTATAGAAGGCACAGTTCCACTTTAAATCACCGACCTAGATTCAGATATCACGCAACACATACTTCAAAGGCGTGTTAAAGTACCATGACATCGCCTGTGGTAAAATGCCTAATGTTAGTAGAGTATCTTAATAATAGACAGATTAGTTGGTACTGCTGGGCGGGTTGTTACCAGCAACACATACTTCAAAGACGTGTTTTAAAGTACCATCACATCGCCTGTGGTAAGATACCTAATGTTAGTAGAGTATCTTAATAATAGACAGATTAGTTGGTACTGCTGGGCGGGTTGGATGGCCGAGTGGTTAGCACGTGCGCGTTGTATCATAAGGCCTGTCATTGAGTCAACTGGCGTTGTTTCGATTCCCCGGTTGTACGTGACAAGGAGTAGGGTCGCCTGTCCAACCTCGTGAGTTTTCTCCGGGTCCTCCGGTCAAATTTCCCCCCACTACAAACGACCCCTACAAGCATGCAAATTATTGAAATAAAATTAAACCATATGTTAGTCCCAAAATGACATAGTTTTGATCGAGTGGACGTTAAAACCCATCTCTCTCTCTCTCTCTCTCTCTCTCTCTCTCTCGTTCATTCTGGGATTTGTATGTAACCCTGTTGTGTAAGCTTATAGTGTGTTCTCTGCTGTTTAGATATATACATCGGAATTTCGTCAAGTGTTTGTTGCAATAAACAAGACATTTACAAGTGCTTATCAACAACTGAGCAAGGTGCTGTCTGGGCATAAAAACCTAGTGATGTCCTATCAAGATGATCTAAATATATCTATGGTGCCAAGTACTAAGGAATATTTTATTTTGTCTTTAAGTGCCAAGTAATTGTGTAGACAACGTGGTATGTATTATGGTATTGACACAGATTAAATAAACAATACTTGCTGATTATATCTTACAGATTTACTGACACAATTATTATATCTACGTCAATACTATCACCCGGTAATCGCTTCTAACAAATAATCAAACAACATAAAAAATCTCATAGAAGAATTGTTTCTAAAATCCGGGAGCCATGGTGGCTAAGTGGGTAAGACGCTGGTTCGTTAGTCTGGAGGTCGCGTGTTCGATCCCTGCATTGGCCGAGAACGTGGTTCCCCTTGTCAGTGGTGCAGGAAGGAGGGCCTAACAAGGACAAGTGTCTAGTCGTTCGGATGGTACGAAAACCGTGTATACATTGGCTTGCAGGTAAAAGATCCCTTGACAGTTTGAATTCGATATAAGAGTAGGTCGTAGTGCCGCTCTCCGGGTAAAATTTCCCTCCTAGCACACTGTATGGCGTATGCCCGTCTTCATTAGCCCAGTTGGAGCAGAACAGTAGGGCGTTAAACCTCATTTCCTTTCATTTCATTTCGTATGATGTTCTGATTATACTGTTATTGGCTATACAGGATGTTTTATATCACAGTTTATGTACCATGATCTGATAATGTTATTATTGTTGGATAGACAGGTATATATGTACCATGATCTGATAATGTTATTACTGTTGGATAGACAGGATGATTATATTTTGAATATCAATGTTGAGAGTTGATGTATGATTCTTATCTCCTCGTGACATATTGATTCTAGACATAATGGTCGTGTTCTCATTTATCATATATCCGTTATCTGTCAAATAAACACATTTAACTTTTATAAATTCTTCCCACACAGCTTTCTATAATACATCACCCGTACCTTAAATGTTAGCTCCCGTCACCGTGGAAAAATTTCTGGCTACGCCACTGAGTAGCCTAGTTTAATAGGCTAAGCTAAAGGATTCCTGTGGTAAAAAATCATTCGGCTGTTTTCGGAATTCGGTCATTCGGAATTCGTCGTCGGTAAACTAACTAACTGCTGTATTGACTAATGGCAATGTTCGTTGTTAGCTTATGCCATAAGAATAATACAGTATCGTACGATACAACGGGTACCTGTTGTTAGTTATACTATGAGGCTAAAATTCTTCACTAAACTGTCATGCCATAAGCTAACATTTAAGGTACGGGTGAATACATATACAACCCGGGATAATGTCTGCAAAGGCTCTTTAGAAGTAACAGGAAACCAGAGAACCGGGAAAAAGCCAGAAGGTTGGACAGGCGATCTTTAACGTCCACTCGACACAAACTAGGTTATTTCGGGACTAACATATGGTTCAATTTTATTTCAATAGTTTGCTTGAGGGGGTTGGATGGCCGAATGGTTAGCGCTTGCGCGTTGTATCATAAGATCTGTCATTTAGTCAACTGGCGTGGTTTCGATTCCCCGATCCAACCATATATGTTAGTCCCGAAATGACCTAGTTTGTGTCGAATGGACGTTACACCCCATTTCTCTTCTCTCTCTCTCTCTCCCACAATATATGCCTACCATTTTACTTTCTAAAACCTGAAAGCTTAAACCGCTTTTTTAATTAAAAGAACCTAGTCAAACCATTAGACCGTGATAAGGAGTAGGGCCACAAGCCTCGTAACTTTCTCCGGGCACCCCGGTACCTCTCACTTCTAGAACCCAGCGAACACGTATATTATTGAGTGGAGTGTCTATATATGTTCATATTGACACAGTTTCTATACAATTTAATAACATATTTTATACCCTACATATATTAATGTATATAATTAGACTTTGTATAATAGGTTTACCATACTGACAGGTAGGACCAATTGTTCATGACCTTATTTCACTTGACAATATATAGGGCTTGCTGACCTTTTGATACAAACTACATACCTGTGAATTAGTTACTAATTTAAATAAATTTACATAATTCATTGATTGCTGACTAGGCTTATTGATAAACATCGTAGTTGGGGTACATTTTAACAATCCTTGAGACTGGCTCAAATACTACACTTAGGCTACCTACAATTAGATCCACACTAAACTAGATGACCGACATTTTAATTCCTAAATCGACGATTTTAGTCGAACGCACTGAGTATACTTCGAGAGTGTAGTTGAGTATTTATTCTGCTCCCATTAAATAAAATTGAATTGTCTGCGATCTCACTTCGTTGGAAGTGGATTTAAAATAAAGCTATTACACACACACAATAAAATTGAATTGTCTGCGATATCACTTCGTTGGAAGTGGATTTAAAATAAAGCTATTACACACACACACAATAAAATTGAATTGTCTGCGATATCACTTCGTTGGAAGCGGATAAAATAAAGCTATTTCACACACATAATAAAATTGAAAAAGTTTATTTAGTTGTCTCGAAGTAGAAACGCATTATTAAATAGTATACTAAATGTTTAGATATGGCGGATATTTAGATCAGAGATCTATTCTCGAAGTATGAAGTAGACGGACCTCTGTGTGCAGAATAGCTGGCTCCCTAACCACAAAGACAGAAATTCGATGTTGGGCGATAACACACATCGGTAATTTTCAGCCTGGGTTCACCTTGCAAGTATCGTGTAGTCGTTCAGGAGGGACAAACACAGAGGTCCCGCGTATACTGTACACGTAAACGACCCCTTGACAGTTGGAATTCGACATAAGAGTAGCGCCGCTGTTAGGGCGAAATTTATCCCATAACATACTCTTAAGGGAGAGAGAGAGAGAAATGGGGTTTAACGTCCACTCGACACAAACTAGGTCACTTCGGGACTAACACATGGGTCAATTTTATTTCAATCATTCGCTTGCGCGTAGGGGTCTTTAGCAGTGGGAGGAAACCGGAGGACCCGGAGAAAACCCACGAGGTTGGACAGGCGACCCTACTCCTTGTCACGTACAACCGGGGAATCGAAACCCCGCCAGTTGACTCAATGACAGACCGTATGATACAGCGCGCGCATGCTAACAATTCGGCCATCCAACCCCCATACTCTTAAGGAAGTAGGTGCAGAATAATACACTTTTATAACATAGTTGGTGTTTTCTATATTTTATGAGAACTAGTGAAGTCTCGATCCGATCTAAGTATATATAATTGAACAGAGGTGTTCACCTGTAAGACAACTTGACGGTGATATTCTGGTCTTTAATTATTGTTTTGTCTGAAATCTTAACAGGCAGTTAAAGAAGCACTTGAGACAGGTAATGCGTGACTTCTGAGAAATTTCCCGCCTGTTCATTTCATCCGCTTCAGTTAATGTTTCCTTCTGCTGTAGTTAATCAGTGGAGTTGGGTGACCGTTTAACGCGTTCGCCTTAGATCATAAGGTCGGTCACTGATCAATTTCCTACTTGAATACATGAATACCCATGCCCTAATGATGAAAGTTTTCAACCTTTTTACTAGTCTATTCATTTATAATCAGGCTTTTGTCTCTTTCATTATCATGTATTTTAAAGGGTTTCATGTTGGAATTTGGAATGCTAGAGGCGCTCTAAACAGCGTTCTCGGAATTGACAAATTTCAAAATTTTCTATATTTTGGTACCCTGGCGTTGTATACATATTTACAGTTATGGCGGATATATACTTTCAAATTTAAAAAGAAGAAGACAAACAATATGAAATCAAAGAGTTTTCAATTAGCAATCTGTAGTGAATTTTAAATCAAAGGTGCCTTTTGCATTTTCTGTTGATATCCGATATCAGAAGAGGAAGTTAGTAAATGTTCTCTAATTAATTCCATCATAACTTGGATAAGTCCATCATAGTTTCATCAATATCTGGTGTTGGTTTGGGTTCATCTCTAACCGGATGTACCTGTAATTATTAAAAACACGTGTTTTATAAAATCACCTGGCATCATCATAATCTGATAAATATCCCGTACTCGTTCATTCATTAAGTCATTTTAATTAACCAAGTACATGTATAGCTAAAAAGGAACATATATTTAAAGTTTCGATGTCCCTGCCTTACAGAAGACCATTAACCATTTGTCTTTTAAATGAAATGAAATGGGGTTTAACGTCCTACTGTTTTGCTCCGACTGGGCTAATGAAGACGTGCATACACTATACAGTGTGCTATGAGGGGAATTTTGCCCGGGCAGTGGCACTATGATGGCCTACTCTTATATCGAATTCCAACTGTCAAGGGATCTTTTACGACTGCCAAGGGGTCTTTTACGTACACGGCAATGTATACATCGAACGACTAGACAGCTGTTCATTGTCAGGCCCTCCGTCTATCGGGCACTATTGACAAGGGGGAAAACACGGCGAACTTTCTCATTCAACACCCGGAGCGAACTCGCAACATCCAGACTAACGAGCAAGCCTCCTACTCACTTAGCCACTGTGGCTCAACCGAATATTTATTCTTTATCGCCTGTAAGTATATATTTTGAATTTTCGTCTGGGATACCGGGCCTTTAATTGCACAAACTTAGCGTAGAGCAAATAAGTTAAACACAATAAAAGTATTTAGACCAAATTATAAGATCGATTTGAACGAAGATAGGGAAATCAATATTTTATATATATAAACCAATTAACTTTCATCAAATTACTAAAAAGTTAAACAAATTTTTTATAAAGACATGCTTTGATGTTTGACAACTATTGAATGATGACAATAACAGAAAAAAGCTTTGTTTTCTTTGACGCTTTGTTAGAACGTCCGCCGTCATGTGTTATGCTTCCTGGAGACGAGAATTTGACGTGTAAATGAATCTATACAAAGCAGAATGATTTTTTGTGATTATTGAGTCTTTGTTCATACTAAGAGAGATAGAGAGAAATGGGGTTTAACGTCCACTCAACACAAACTAGGTCATTTCGGGACTAACACATGATTCAATTTTATTTCAATAATTTGCTTGCGCGTAGGGGTCTTTAGCAGTGGGAGGAAACCGGAGGTCCTGGAGAAAACCCACGAGGTTGGACAGGCGACTCTACTCCTTGGTATGTACAACTGGGGAATCTGTTCATACTAAATGTTGAATATGTATATACATTAAAGCGACATTATGTAGGGTTTAAATATCCAGTTTTCTTCTAATCTATGTTTATTTAAAGGGGTATTATATAAGGTTTAGATAAAGAACTGTCAGTTCTTGCTATAATAGTTAAAAATAGATAATGAAAAGAGAATATGCTGAAAACTGCATTCAAATTACTTCACTCTGAGCATAGATATGCGATATACCATTATAGATTAGCCTCGATTGTCGTTACTACCGATGTTACGATATTAAACAAAGTCTCGATTATCTATTTTTAAAGTAACTGCATCGACCACAAAACGTATCTAAATCTACTTATATCACAGGCTAGCGATGACATCGAGAGTTGATTATGATCTGGATAGGATAATAAATGTCTAATTAATAATTTAGATAACATTTCAGACCTAAAGAAAGACCTGCAATAGACAGATTTAGCTCTTGTATAATGAATTTTAATATAGAAATTCTAGAGGTTTAACATCAGGTATTGACAATATTCTCTAATAATGAATATTGTTTACCACTCTATGACGTCACTGATATAAATAAAAAAACAAAACAACGTTATGTTATTTTCGACATCTTTAAGAATTAGAGTTGAACAGATTCCTTAAGTCTGTAGATGACCATAATATAATATGTTTTCACTTCTTACAGTGAGGTTGGATGGCCGAGTGGTTAGCACGTGCATGCTGTATCATAAGGCCTGTCATTGAGTCAACTGGCGTGGTTTCCAATCCCCGGTTGTACGTGACAAGGATTAGGGTCGCCTGTCCAACCTCGTGGGTTTTCTCCGGGTCCTCCGGTTTCCTCCCACTGCTAAAGACCCCTACGCGCAATCGAATTATTATAATAAAATTAAACCATATGTTAGTCCCGAAATGACCTAGTTTGTGTGGAGTGGACGTTAAACTCCATTTCTCTCTCTCTCTCTTTAACTTCTTACAAAGATTGGTTAATATTTTACAAATATTGTTTCGTTAAAGGCGTTAAAGAGATACGAGAATCATAACACCTCTTATCGTTTATCGATATAATCGATCAGACTTAGCACTAACAAATAACGAGTAAATATAACATTGAACATACAAAACAATCGATTATAATCAAGGACATTGCCATCAGCGACTGTGTCGTCACAAGGACTTTTGTCATCAAAGGCAACATAGCAAAAGGTGTCTACGAATACTAATATTATAGTGGTAAGCCAATCTGATTAAAACACAGATCCTATTTCGTTTCCTTTTTTTATAGTTCAAAATTTCGTTTTACTTGTCTTTCCTACACAAGGATCTGGACGAGTTGTTTTATAAGTCGGTTTCTGGTTGATGTGAGGGATTAGCGTGCGATGCTCGGATCTGTGAGTAAACCACTAGAAACGTCAACACTGGTTGATTAATCAATGTCTGACGTCATAGTGTCAAAAGCCGATCGTAAGACACCTGACGCGACCTCCCAGTACAGCTTGTCAGATCTACATGTAGTGTAGACCATCGAAGGTATAAAAAAAATACGAAACGAAATAATCTGTAATTTAATCAGATTGGTGGTGAGCCAATTTCTATTTTAATTTAGTCTCAAAATAACCTAGTGTGTGTCGTCGAGTGGACGTTACCCCCCCCCCCCCTCTCTCTCTCTCTCAATTGTAATGCCGTGTAACAGGAGTTCAGCTTTAATTACTGTATCGATTCCTACTCTAATCACGACAGGAGTTCAGCTTTAATTACTGTATCGAGTCCTACTCTAATCACGACAGTAGTTCAGCTTTAATTACTGTATCGAGTCCTACTCTAATCACGACAGTAGTTCAGCTTTAATTACTGTATCGAGTCCTACTCTAATCACGACAGTAGTTCAGCTTTAATTACTGTATCGAGTCCTACTCTAATCACGATTAGTCATTAATTCTGGATTAAATATATTTACGACTATCCTATACACAAATAAGTACTTATTTCATTTTATATTTACTCTTGATTTAACCTACCTGTTCTTTCACTGCTGGTTTATTTTTAGCTTTCTTCGATTCCTGAGCGGATTTTATAACCGAATTTCTAAAACCAGAATAGTTTTTATCTAAACATTCTGTTTTAGTCTTATTGATCTGATTTAACTGAAAATAAACAAGAATACAATCACCATATTAAAGCCATTTAGCATTAAATTACCTGACATACTGAACCCTAATTACCTGTAACGTGTAATCAAGTATGATAGCTATCACGATTATTATAGAAATATAATTAGGATTCCACACTTCAAAGCTATATTAAATTTTATGCCAACATGGTTGATCAAAGCACACATAATACAACAACACAGTGAATGAATTGAAAAAAGATATAATCAATAAAATGTAAATGTCCATATTCAATTCATTCACCGTGTACGAAAATATATAAATATGATTGTAAGGAAATTTGAAATACAATAAGATCCCTGCATTGGCCGAGAAAGTTCATCCAGATTTTCCGGCGTGGTTCCCCCTTGTCAGTGATGCAGGACGGAGGGCCTGACAAGGACAGCTGTCTAGTCATTCGGATGAGACGAAAAACCGAGGTCCCGTGTACACATTGGCGTGCACGTAAAAGATCCCTTGACAGTTGGAATTCGATATAAGAGTAGGCCGTAGTGCCGCTGTCCGGGCAAAATTACCCTCATAGCACACTGTATGGCATATGCCCGTCTTCATTAGCCCAGTTCGGAGCAAAACAGTAGGACGTTAAACCCCATTTCATTTCATTTTTGAAATACAATAAACATACGCAATAACAATACAAATTGTATAATACTGTATTGGTCAAAGATGGGGATAAAACAACTGTCACAATATTGCTGTAACTTTTCTTAAACTACATTACAAATACATCAAAAATAATATTATGGCTTAACATAGTTTGGGAAATTCGAAAATTATGCAAAACGGTAATTAGTATTCTATTGTCACCTTTCTAAACTGTTTCTCAATAAAAACGTCAATGACTATTCTATTGTCTTAAATTGTTCGCCAATAGATGCTTAATGGTCCAAATCATTTGATCTACAAATACTCTACTTTCGGTTTTATCTTTGTTGATTTCAATGGAACAGTATAACTATGCCCGTTAAATTTCTGACTTCAATTACCCATTGTCCATAACTGTTTCTAATGAAAAATTGGAAGCGAGTCATCTAAGGAGTCAAATAATCCACATAAACTGTTGATTTCCAAACGGTTTAATAATTTGAGTTGATACTTTCAGACAATGTAAATGGGCTAAACATTTTTATTTAGGGGTTCGATATGCTTTTCAAAGAAATATGTTTGTTTTTCAGACACCCAGTGAAAACTGGGACTGTCCCTTTAATAATACTTGTTAGACGGGTAATTATAAACCAGGGACCTTATATTGGGAAAATTCTAAATGTGCATATATTTACTTATTAAACTGAATGATTTTCACGAAGAAATTACTACCATATGTAACTGAATCTGGTATTTTTAAAAATAAATCAAGCACCGGAAGTGATGTACTTTTTCTGAAGTCGCCTAAAACACCTGGGTAATAATTATGTCCATTTAACTGACGTTTATCGATATGTGTTGGAAACTTTCGTTTGCACAGAAAGTGATGCCATTTAAAGGTTACCGGTGAAATCCGCCATAGCTGCGTCGCAGATCTAGTTTAGTGTATATACTGTAAACGTTATGTCAACGCCTTATTTCTTAATATAGATTAGGAGGGTTGGATGACCGAATGGTTAGCGCGTGCGAATTGTATCATAAGGTCTTTCATTGGCGTGGTTTCGATTCACGGTTGTACGTGGCAAGGAGTAGGGTCGCCTGTCCAACCTCGTGGTTTTAAATACATATTAGCGGTGATATATTAGATAATATTGTTGGATTTTACACATTTTGCTCTCTCTCTCTCTCTCTCTCTCTCTCTCTCTCGCATTCCTCTTTCAATGGCATGTTTAGCATTCTGTTTGTATTGTGTGCTCGGAACTAAATGTTGAAAAAAAAAACTGTTGATATGTTTAAAAATGTTGAAACTCGATGTTCGTGTACACATTGACAGTGGGGCTTAACAAAGACATTTGAATTCCTAAACACTGACACGATAGGATTTAATCTAGAATAAAATGATTAGGTTTAAAGATAGATAACTGATTTACAACTTCCGCCCCCACACACGTGTAATCCGCACTTGCCATTAGCATCTCACAATTTCCGAAATCGTTGGGGTTTTTTTTTTATTTATAAAATTTAGATAAGATTTAGATAAAGAGTTGGTCGTTCGTGATATAATGGTTAGAAAATAGATGAATACATTCAATATTTCAGTCAAATTATTTTATCCTGAGCGAGGGTTTAAAGTTTGGAACCAGATAGTCTCGACTCTTGATCGTCAAGTACCATTGCTACGATAATAAACAAAGTCTCGATTATCCATTTTAACGTTAAATTATTACATGGCGCGATGGTTCTACCCCATCCATCAAGAGAGATGTTTATAAGCGTGTATGTGAATAAATGCCTAATATATAATGCATATAACATTTGAAGCCAAAATATAGCTCTTGTATAATACACCTTTAAGCATCTGACTTCCACAAACACACGTGGATGCATACACCTCGCCACGTGTCATTAATAAGGAAACTGAGACTTAAAATTTAACAATCGACTTTCCTTCAACGATTCCTCTTTGTAGGAAGCTTTATACTGGATTGCTAAAATAAACAAAAACAAAAAAAACCAAAAAACAAAAAGAACGATTAGAAATGCAAACTTTGCTAGTGCAAACCGTTTGACCAATAATGTATGAATAATTTACTAATAAAATGCGTTATGTTCCATTTATTTTAAATTAAAAAATTGGAATTAAGGAATTATTGCATAATTAACCAATAAAGTCCGTTTTATTAGTTTACTGTTATATTCCATCCAAGTCTGGAAATGAGACACCTGTCACAGACAATATCAGATACAACCCCTCTGGTGGTGGCCATTTTTTATGGCACAGATTGGTTTTTATCTGTTTTTCATGGATTCCCCGTTTGTACATGACAAGGAGTAGGGTCGCCTGTCCAACCTCGTGGGTTTTCTCCGGGTCCCCCGGTATCCTCCCTGCGCAAGCGAATTATTGAAATAAAAATTGAACCCCTCTCTCTCTCTCTCTCTCTCTCTCTCTCTCTCTCTCTCTGTTGTTAATGATATTAGTGTCATGTTGTCTGGAACCACTGAAATCGTTATTTCCAGGCCTGATTCCTTGTTTGAAATAACATAGATAATGGTATCAATTAGTACTACAGATATATTTATAGTGATGACTGACCGATTGTTTTATTTTCTCTGATCTGGTTTATTTATTCAGGGTAAAACTATCTAGATGAAGTGAGGCTTGTTATTGACTTCATCTTACCGTCTTTATTACTATCAAAATATAGATTCAACTTACACTAAAAACAAATCTAGAAATCCTAAAATCAGCTTTTATATGTCTACACTCCTGAAAGCGATAATTTCATATTTTCTAAGAAAGTCAAAACATAATTATTTCTATGTCTTTTGCTCAATAGGTTGTCAACTCACTATAATACGATCATAGGTATTAATCTCCCACTTAAAAATCCTTTGACCCCGGAAATAATAACACAATTACCTCCCTTGTTTTTCTATTCCCCCCCAAACGTTTTAATTTGAAGTTTAAAATGATATTTTTGACAATTTCTCAACTGGCAATAGTGAATTATAGAATTAATAGGATTATTCTTTAACAAGGTAGGACTGTTTATAGATACCATCTATTTTAAGGCTTTATTTTAATACATTTTAAAAATATAACTTAAAAATGTGAAATTGCAACTTGAACGAAAATGACCAATCGCTACAACCAAACTAAGTTAAACCGCTTGTGAAGTTTTCGGACAATATTTAATTGTTCTTGGCTTTATTCACACGTAAGTGCCGTATGTTGTCCATCATGTTTCCTGCAATTTGGTATATAAGTAGCATTTATATTTTTATACTTCTAAACTAAAATGAACAATCGCTACAAATAATCTGATTAAAATACTTTTATACTTTCGATGGCCTACACTACATGACGATCTGAGCGATAGGTCACGTCAGGGGTCAAAAGACCGACTTATGACCCTATGATGTCAGACATTTGATTAACCAAACAGCATTGATGTTACTAGTGGATTACCCAGAGTTCAGTGCAAAACAGGCCTAAAGCTCGCCGTGACAGACCGTTTCATTGGCTTATCCCTGACACCATTCAGAAAACGAGTTAAATAACAACTCTTCCAGATCCAGATAAGGTCCATGGTAAAACGAAATTTTGAACTATAAAAACGAAACGAAATAGGATCTGTGTTTAAACCAGATTGTCGCTACAACCAAACTAAGTTAAAGTAGACGATCAGACATGTGCAGTTTTCGGACAATATTTAATTGTTCTCGGCTTTATTCACAAGAAAATGCCGTATGCTCCCTTGTCCATTATGTTTCCTGCAATTTGGTTTCAATCAAAATTTAACCAATACCATATTCTTTGCCGAGGATGAAAGCATCCGTTTTTTTAGCCAATATTTAATTTTATGTCAACTTCAGAATTGTTAGTATAAATATAGCATTGACTTGACAATTATAACGGTATTCATCAGGTCCTAAATCGAGTTATTGCAAACATTTTGCTTGATTTGTGTTCCTGGTGTTATAAGCTTTCTCAAAAATGTATAGTTTGTTTAGCAGAGAGGGCCTTGTAGCCGAACTTCACGCTCGAAATTTTGGCTGAAGGCCTAAACGTACTCAAATGGATTTTATTAAGAAATGAAATGAAATGAAATAGGGTTTAACGTCCTACTGTTCTGCTCCGAACTTGGCTAATAAAGACGGGCATACGCCATACAGTGTGCTATGAGGGAAATTTTTCCCGGACAGCGGCACTACGGCCTACTCTTATATCGAATTCCAACTGTCAAGGGGTCTTTTACGTGCACGCCAATGTGTACACGGGACCTCGTTTTTTCGTCTAATCCGAACGACTAGACAGCTGTCCTTGTCAGGCCCTCCGTCCTGCACCACTGACAAGGGGGAACCACGCCGGAAAATCTGGATAAACT